TGTTTGATAGTTCTCACACTCTGTTAGGTCACCTTTCTTTGGAACGGGAACAAATATTGATCTTTTCCAGTCAGTCGGCCAGCTGGCTGTCCTCCAGATTTCTTGGCACAACTTAGCACATCCAGGGCAGTGTTTGTTGAAATATGTCAATTGGTATGCCATCAACTCCTGGAGCCTTGTTTTTTTCCAACTCCTTCAGAGCAATTAGAATTTTCCTCCTTCATCACCATAGGCTCTTGCTCATATGTTATTTCATGAAATTCTTCTGTGTCAACCAGTTCCTTCTGATACAGTGACTCTGTGTACTCCTTCCATCTTCTCTTGATACTTCCTGGATCATTTAACAAAAGCATCCTTAAGTATTGCCACCCGTGGCTTCAATTTGTTTTTCAGCTCCTTCAGCTTAAGAAACCCTGAGGGAGTTTGACCCTTTTGATTTTCTGACTCCAGCTCTCTGCATATTTCATTACAGCATCTTGATTTGTTGTCCTGGGTTGCCTTTTGAAATTTTCTGTTCAGCTCTTTGATTTCTTGGTTTCTTCCTTTAGCTTTGACTTCTCAGCGTATGTAGGGAAAAAGCTTAAGGACAATCAGTATCATTCTGATATAACTGTTTTGCTAACTTTCTTGGTTAGGAGCATCTTCATTGGGTTTGGGGGTAGGGTGAGAAGCATGCTTATTTTTATTATTTACATTTAAACGAGTTATTCAGAATTATGAATGGTAGAATGAAGACCTAGTACACATTATAAAGTGAATGGAAATTTTGATCATTTGCATTTTGTCTTTATAGGATATGATCTATATTTTAGTATTTTGTCTTAATGCTTGCTATTTTCTATTGTTAATTGACATACCTGTGGTGGACAGTTAGGGAAAAACAGTTGCTAGAAGTGAAAGAATAGAAAAGGCAAGAATCTTACTCTGCCTGACTAGACAGACTTCAAAATGAGATTGGTTGAATCTGTTTGGATTTCTTCTAAATTTTTTACCTTTTCTAAGCCACAAGGCACAACTAGTTTGTCTCTATAAGACACACACACACAATCTTAGGTGGATGATAGCTTGTAAGATCCTTTTGGAGTTCAAGAAACGGAACTGTATATCCTGATATCTGTTTGTTGAGTGGTAAGGGAATGTGAGATGCTGGAAAGGGGGGAAAATATAAATGAGGTCCTTATGCATTAATGCCCACTTCACAGATTCTGACCCGCTGACTTCTGAGGACTTTGATATAGTGATTAAAGCCATGCTGGAGGCTCCCTATAAAAAAGAGAATCTACCCCAACTCTTTGTAACATTTTTATGATTGTTTCTGCTTGTGTATTATGTACAGATATTAAAAAACAGTGTGAACTTTTAAAAACTACTATGTGTTAGGAGCTCCACAATAACAGGATTATGCTTTAGAAAGGGCCCTAAAGGCCAGATACGTACCATGGGAGTGAGTGACACCCTGTAAAGGCAGTGTCAGACCTAGCTCTGATTTCTCACTTTCCTGGGAAATAAATGTCATTGGAGTAGATAGATGTTGAGTGGCTGTAGTTAGACGTCAAACTTGGTCCTTCGGTTTTCTTCCTTCTGGCCATTGTCCTTGCTTCCTCTTATTCCTCCTGTTAGATCCTCAAAACCTGCCTAAGTGATTGAGAGCTTTGATTTCATCGCCTTTTCTTTCCTGTCCACCTTTGTTTTCTTTGCTCAATGGAATCTGTGTGCCTACCACCTTAAGCCTTGGTAACAATTGCTTTGTGAACCCCTCAGGATGAGCAGCAAAGAAAAGAGGTTGAAAAACAGGACCTCCCTTGCACTACTGAAACTACCACCAGCAACACTGACAACAAAAGCAGTGGCACTAGTGTGAGCAGCACCAGTGCAGAGACAAGCAAGTGAATGTGGAGTGAAGAAGTGGGTTGGCAAACTGCAGAAGGGGAAACATCTGTGGTCATTAGAGCGCCAGAACAGGGAGGTGGTTGCTCTGAAGACTGTAGACTTAGTAATGGCTCTCCTGAGTTATAGAAATAATGGTTACCTGGTTTCATGATCTTCTAGCCTTTGCTTTCCAAGGTAGATTTGTGGATCTACCTTAGTATTGGTTTATTTTATTTAAATAAAATAATTTAATTTGAGAAGAGCAGCCTTCACTTGGCTATAGTGGTAAAAATGGCTGCTTCAAATGCCTGACCATGTTCAGAGCTGTGTAGGTCAGCGTGCAATTGCTGTGAACTCCAGCCAGATTATTTTCTGGATTTTGTATTTTTATGACTTTCTGTTTCACTCTAGTTTTACTGTTATTCTTTTATTTTGAATCATGCAATCTTTTCAGAAGTAAGAATTTATAATATCCTTCACAGGAAGAAGAGAAAATGGAGCCATAGTAGAAGCAGGGATAGAAAGCACAGGCCCATAGTTCTTGGGCTTTTAGTTTTGAGGAATGACTGGAAATGGAAAGATATTAGATGGAAACTGTATTAAAGCGCAGGCCAGGTTTGTTTGCCCTTTAATAAAGGTTATGGTCATTTCTGTCTGTAGTCATAGTGGAGACTGAGATCGGCATAGATGGAGAACCAGTCAGAACTGAAATTGTGACCGGCAGTGGCATCACCACAGCCATAGCTGGGATCGTCAACGTAGTAGTGAGTCACAAAGATGAGACTGGTGGCTTGAGGACTCCGTCCACTACAGGAGTCCCCCACATGCTACTGGATATCACCTGTTGCTAATTAGATCACCTTTATATTGCTGTCTGGGTAAAACACCAGATGCACTACACACGCGGCCATCAAGTCTGCTCTAATAGCATGATAATCTTTTCTGTCAGAGCAAACTGCTCCATAAGGTTTTCAAACATACTTTGGGTATGTTGTCAAGCCGGGCCAGTCCTGGGAAAAAAAGACATCATACTAAGAAAGGTAGAGAGTCACGAAAATAGAGAAGGAACCTCAGCAAGATGAATTGACACACTGACTGTTAACAATGGACTCAACCATTTTGGAGATCATGAGGAGATGGGGCCAGGTTAGGGCTGAGTTCCAATCTGTCGTTTGTAGAACTCATGTCAGGAGATGAGATGCTGAAACCTGGTTTTCTCATGATGAAAGACCCAGCATGGGATCGGTGTGAATAAGGTTGTTGTTAGGTACCGTCGAGTCGTAGACAACTCAGCAACCCTATGAACAAAAGACCTGAGCATTCATAGAGTTTCCAGAGGCAGGTCATTTCGGAAGTGGATGCCGCTCCTGCTTCCAGGCTTGTTTTAATCAGGAAGCTCATGAATCAGGTTAGGTGACATAATTTTTAGGATTTTTTCTTCTTCTTCTCTTTCTCAGGCATAGATATGGACATAGTAAGAGTCCTCATTTCAGAGAGAAAAGTCCAGTCAGGTGAGTTGATATAGCACATTTTTAAAGAGTTATGATATACAAAGAAAGATTGAAGTAAAACCATAGGACAAACATACTGCTAGAGGATTAGCTAGAAAAGGAGGACCTCTTAGTACTGAGGCAACTAGTCTCAAATTCTCCTCACCCTGTAGGGAGCCAGTTGATAACCTCAGTCCCAGGGACTGTGAGGCCCGCACGGTATTTTGTATGCAGTTGGCAGCCTGCGTTCGACCTTGAGACTTGGAGGACTTTTTCTCTTCTGTCAGCAGAGTAACCCCCTCCTGTCCTTAGTGCTCTTCTCTTGTGCTTTACCTGTCTTCCATCCCCTTTAAGCCCATCTCAGGATTCCCTTTCCCCTGGGTAGGTTCATGATGTCTGTATCCTTTCATATAGGAAACCACATCCTTCCAAGGGCAAGGGCATTGCCTGTGTGGAAGTCTGTGAAATCCAGTCTGTGCCTTTGGCCATTGAGCTGACTGGGCAGCGGCTTCTAGGAGTGCAGGCCTCACAGGTGAGCAGCTTGAGGATTGATCCAGCAAAGATGGGATTGAAGGGAGGTAGAAAATGTAGGCCATGACTGATCATTTCTTCTTCCTCGAGGCCAAAAAGAACCAACTGGCAGCATGGCCAACAATTTGCAGAAGGGCACTGGTGGGCCAGCGCGCCTCTATGTGGTTCCTTGCATTTTAATATCACTGAGGATATGCTCCGAAGCATCTTTGAGCCCTTTGGCAAAGTAAGTAGAAGACGGAGGAATCTTAGAAGGCAAGTAGAGAAAAGTGGGGTGGGTAGCTGTTCTCTCTGGCCATGATTATTCCACAGGATGTCTAAATAAGAGGCATTGCTGTGTATGAAAGCTAGATTCTGTCCCAAGATTCATGCTGCTCCCTAGACAAAGGAGTGAGATATATAATAACATCAAATAATGGGATCCAGATTAAGAAAGATTAGTCACAAAATGTATTTTGTAAAAAGTTAATCTTCACCTCTGTTGTTTTTATTTTTTAAAACTTTTTACTGCAATCCCAGAGGTACATGATTCAAATCCACCAGCTGCTCTGCTGGAGAAGGAGGAACAATCTCCTTCTGTACCAGTCAGATCCGATTTGACAGTACACATACAAAAATAATAAAAATTAAAAAAAAAAAACCCAAACCTTTTTACTGTGATTTGAATGAATGTTTATAGAGCAAATTGGTTGTCCAGTCAACAGTTCTGACACATTGTGTGACTTTGATTGAAATAATTTCACAAAAGAAAGTTCGTAAAGAAGTAATTTGTTAACTGGTTATAATTTTTAAAGAGATAATTTAGATTAGCCTAGATGGGAAAGATCTAGTGTATGGGCTAGCCAGAGAGATGATTAATCATTTCTTCCTATTCTGCAGATTGATAATATTGTCCTAATGATGGAGTCAGATTCCGGCCAATCTAAAGATTACAGTTTCATTTCAGTTAAGTCTCTAGTGTCTTAATTTTTTATTTTAGTTTAGGCTTATCTACTTGTCTGATTTTGGAACTTAGCTTCATCCTCCTCCTTTAGGAACTGTCTGAATGACCCATAAACACTGATGCTTGAAGTTCAGACTAGTCTTCTTCCCCTTGAGATGAGTACATTATTCCAGATCTTGCCTTTGCTCCTACACTATGTCATTGGCCCAGGTCTGGTGTGTCCAGGAATTCAGCCACCTTGCTATTTGGGTAATAGTAATGATTCCATCTGACAGCTAAAAGAAGTTGGGGCATAAGGGAGGTTAAGGCCGAGCTTTGAAAGACATGCTTTATAGAACTGGTTTATTAGTTTCATGAGAAGTCCAGGAATAAAAAGTTGCATTTCCTTCTATTGTTACCTCCTTAGAAGTAGTTTTTTGTTGAAATCTTTTTTAGTACTGTTGGAAGAATAGCATGATGCCCTTACAGTGACACTTCAGCAGAATGGTGTCCAATTACTACAACTGGTTCTTTGGGCTCCATGTGACACTAGGGTGATGAGGACTGGTTGTTTTCTGGACTCAATCCAGGTATCAGATATCTCCCACAACTGCCCAGAGGGCAGAGTTTAAGTAGATTGTGCCATGTCATGCGAATTGCTCTCCTCGAAGTATCCAGTAGAGGTAGAGCACTATGCTGCCTGCCCAGGAGCTGCGAGTACCACATGCTTGATCCTAGGGCAGGTAATGCGAGATTAAACACCTCCAGCTATGACACTGAGGGGTCTCTGTGGTGGATTGTGCTTTTTCTAGTGCCCTGTATGACTCAGATGCAGAAAGGTTTCTGTGGGGCCTTTTTGCCTTTGTTTGGAAGCCTTTTAGGTCAACAGTCTTCACCCTTGCACAAACAGCAGTCTGGGAATCCCCTATACCTGATGTGCTGCTGATGCTTTTGTCCTGAAAGGGACTAGAAACCCTCTGGTCAGCAAGCAAATCACTGAGTCAGCAGAATTAGGGTGGGTGGTGGAAGACGCGGGGAAGGCACAGGCGTGCTTTTCACACCAGGAAATGTGCCTTCCCACAGCAGGACTCTAGGGTTCCGGAGTTCTAGTCCTTACTGAGAACTGAAAATTAAAATTCACAGGAGCCAAGTAAAAAGCCTAGAAGCCTTGGTTTCCCTGTGTCTTTGTTTTCATTGTATGAAATAACATGTCAGCCTGAGCTTTATCCAAATGACAGACTTTTCATATCGTAACATTCTTTGTGGAGCTGGATGACTGGAAAATGATTCCCATTGAGCCCATCAGAAAGGGTCCTTTTCAGAGAACAATTTTGAGAGTGAGATCTTAGGTTACATTCCTTGAGAAATTGATGTTTGTACCATAGCAAGCAAGCACTTTTTCTGGGATAGTAGAGGGACTGTTAATAGGGCTCTGGGAACAGATGTGTGGCTGGGAGGTGAGTAATATACCTGGGTCCTTGTAGTTCTCTGACTCTGAGTGTACCCACCAGGCTTTGGAACAGTTAAATGGCTTTGAGCTTGCTGGTTGACCTGTGCAGGTTGGCTGTGTGACTGAGTGACCGGATGGTGGCACAGACATCACTTTTCCTGATGGAAACCAGGAGGTGGAACTGGGATCCACAGGTGGATGTTTGCAGCTCATGGCCAAACTGGCAGAAGGTAGAGCTGCTCTGCAAGGTGAAGAGCAAGAGGTTTAATCTGAGATTTAAGATTGGATCTTAACCCCACTTTGTCTTCTCCTTTCAGGCTTTGGAATCCAGCTCCTGACTAGCTGCTGCTGCTGCGGCTACCCAGGCTGCTGCCTTGCTACTGAATGTTCCCTTAGGGGCCCTGAAGCCAGCAGCTCTGCCTGGTAGACTTAAGACCTGGAAAAGGAAGAGAAGGGCCTGAGGCAGGAAACAAGGAGAGCTCTGCTCACTCACCGTCTCTGCTTCTCTTTCTTTGCTTCAGCTCTGAGTCCGGCCCTGAACCTCACCTCACACGCAGTCACCTCACAATGCTTCCAACTCACCAGCCTCTTTACCCCCCAGACCATGTGAGTCTCAGGATCTAGCTCATTCCAGTATTTCCTTATTCTCTTATGACTTTCTGTTTACCTCTCTTCTCCTTGTCACAGGTAAATCAGTGGCCCTGTACGTTGCCTCCCTGGGCCTCTGGATCCCAGCACATACCTCTCTACACTACCCTTCAACAGCCATCCTGAGAACGGAGACCTTGACACTGGGGAGACTGGGGTTATCCCTGGATACCAAGAACTCCTGCCTGTACCTTTACTGGAATGAACTCTGCTGAGCAGAGACTCCAGTCTAAGAAGGCAGAATTGACACCTCCATTGAATATGTGTCTCCTTGTGTATTGCTTTAAGGAGGATGGACCTTCATTGCGCTTCCCAACCACCTTTTAGTGAGTCCTTAGTTTGTCCCCATTAGGAAGATCACAGGGTGTTAATGGAAGAAATTAATCTCTGTTTTACCCTATTATCTGGCAAGGAAAATTTATAACTCTGGTTGGAGAGGATTTTAGATTTTGGTGGAGTGAACCTTGAAGGTGGTGGCTTGCTACTACAAGACACCTTGGACTTTTGCATTGTGAAGCCTGCCTTTGTCCTTGGCTTGGTGCAGCTTGAGACTAGTACTACTATTGGCACAGTGTCTTACTGGGAGTTGTGTGAATGGTTTATTCTGTGGGACATTTTGACTGTCTTAGAGGCCCTCTGGGGTTCAGTGATGGTGGTGTACTTTTCCATTTTCTCCCCTCTTCCTTTGGCTACTCATTCTTCCTTCCAGGTCCTCCCTTTGGCCCAGGATGGAAGAATGGAGGGGAGGCTGCCACTCTCCACCTCTTCCTGTGTGCCTCCACTGTGGCCTCAACCCTGGCTGTTAAAGCCATCCCTGGCCCCTGCCTGCATATGTGAGCCCTTCTTACTGGGTTTTACACAGTGTGGATATAAACATATACATGTGTGTGTGTGTATGTATAAACTTTGTACAAAAGGCAGCTCCCTCCTTTCCATCATGGCAGCTCCTGCCTATATGTATGTAGTCTGAAGGTAGTTGATATGTCTATCTGATTCTTAGCTTCTCATGAACCAAAATGACAGAATGATTCTAGAAATAGAAAACATTTGTAATGCCATTGAATATTAGGTTTTTGTTGTCATCTATTTTGGTTAGGCATAAGAACGGCCACAAGGTGCATACCTGGGCCTCTGACCCACCTCCATGCCCAGCACACAGGCTTCCAGGCTTCCGTCTCTTGTGTCTTTCCACCAGATGGCAGTGTGTCAGAAACACATTTTGTACATTTCTGTAGGGTTGTTTCAGGAGCTTGGGCACCAGAGAAGCCTTCTTAGTTCACCATTATTTCCGTATTGCTATCTTACCTGTATTTGAAACTCTTTGTGTTATAATTCCCAACTTGATATCCAAAGGTTCCTTCCGACTTGATGTCTACTCCTTGGTCAGTCCTCTCAGCTCTTGATGGCCATGTGACTCTGTGGGGCAGCACAAGTCTGGGACAGTGGATTCAGGGAGCTGAGTGGTCAGGAACAATTCTTTGTAGTTGAGAAAGTTCACTTTCCTCAACCAGATTTGGAGGCTGTAACCTGGGAAGAGCTGGTACAAGTGTTGGGAACAACCAAAAGGAAAAGACTAAAGGTTTGGGATAGGGCTTTCCGATGAGGCTCCTCTGTTCTTTACTGATCTCTATGGCAACAGAATGTTAAGAATTTATTATCATGCTAAAAATACAGATAATTGCTGCTAAGTTTTATATTTCTTTGTCAGCTCTTAAACTTCTAAGTGGTGTGATGGCCTTGTGGTGATACTTGCCTCTGGTGGCTTTTAACACCAAAATAATTTACTTGAGGCCTGCTTGCACGTATAGCACCACCGAGACCTAAGACTGGCTCTGCCTCTTCTGAGTCACTGCAGTCACCTGCTGCTGTTACCTTCACTACCATCTCCACCCACTTTTAGTCCCTTCCTATCTTAACTTACTCTTTGGACCTGGGGGATGGAAAGGAAGATGCCCTATTTTTAGGTAGGAGTGTCTGGCTATGGACCAGTCCCCCTGCAGTTATTGATTTGGCTGCTAATGCATCCTGTAAGGTTGCAACGAGGACCATCCTTGTTAGTCATCCTGAGGCTGTGGGCCAGGGCTCATGGCTGGTGTGGATTCCTCTAAACTCCTGGAAATACCCATAAGCCTGGCCTCCTTGCCCTCAGATGAACCCATCTCAGCTTCATTCCCATCCCTGTCTATTGCATACCTGCAGTTGCGTTTCTACCTTAGTTCTTCCTTATCCCCCGTTCATAATTGCTTATACATCTTATAGCTGGAAGAAGACAGTGGTGAAAATGAAGAAACATCAGAGACAACAGCACTTTGGTCTTAACCCTTATAAGGTAATGGCACCTAGTGAATGACAGCTGGTGCCATGGTGTGTGACTCAGTGCCTTCTTGTTACTCATCTAACTGTAGGGGGTGGTTGGAATGGAGAGAAGGGGGCAGCAAGCGGCCTCTGGAAGCCTCCCTCCACCTCTTGTGCCTAACTAAGAAAAGCAACTAGGTTGTGTTTGGTTTGGGGTACAGATAAGAATATGGCCCTTAGTCTTCAGGTAGAGGTGAGCCTATGGCCAAATTCTGATTGGTAGTTAAGATTTCTCCGCCAGCACTCACTTCTGGTTTTGTTTTGTTTTAATTCTTTTTTTGTGTGTGTACCGTCAAATCGGATCTGACTGGTACAGGAAGCGATTGTCCCTCCTCCTTCAGCAAAGCATCTGATGGATTCAAACTGTATAACTCTGGGATTGCAGTGCATCTTCTTGCCACTAGGCCATCAGAGCTCCCAGCACTCACTTCTAAACAGAAGTTTGGGGCTCACATTTGGCTCAGAGATCACATTTTTGTCTTTAGGACAGTGACATTTCCTCCCTGTTTAAACTATTGTGTTAGTGGCTTTGAAACTTTGCCAACTTCCTTTCTCGGCACCAGCAACTCCCAGAGATGAACCCCAGGGGACACAGGCTTGACCTGTGAAACCTAGTCTTGCTACTTGGGATGAAGGGAAATTAAAAACTTGAAGGGAAAATATCACGGAAATACTGTCTTTTCCATGTTAAAGAACAGGTTTGGTTAGAATCATGGAATCATAGGACTTGGGCAGTGAACAGAGGCTATCCTGGCTCTAAACAGTGAAGAGATGACATAATGATAGTTGTTAACATATTCATAATTTATTGTGTGTTCATATTTTCAGGAGCACTGCTAGTGCAATGATTTGCCTACTAATCCAAATTGCTGTTGTTAGATGCCATCAAGCCAAGTATGACTCAGTGACCCTACGAACAACAGAGCTGAACCCTGGCCTATCCTGTACCATCATCATAATTTCTGACATGCTTGAGCCCACTGCAGCAGTTGCAGTATCAGTCCATCTCACTGAGGGTCTTCCCCTCTTCCGCTGACCCACCACCACCTTTCCAAGCATGATGTCCCTTTTCAAGGAATAACATTTAATAGTATTCCCATAGTACGTGAGATTAAGCTTTGTTATCTTTGCCTTCAAGGAGTATTCTGGCTAAGCTTTCTCTAAGACTTATCTGTTTGATCTTTTAGCAGTCCATTGGTTATTCAGTATTGTTCTCCCACACCACAGCTCGAAGGCATCAATTCTCCTCCGGCCATCCTTATTCCTTGTCTAGCTTTCAGATGCATAGCAAGTGATTGAAAAGATCATGGCTCGAATCAGAAGCACCTTAGTCTTCAGGCCGATACTATTGCTTTCCAGTGATTTGGAGAGGTCCCTAACTGCAGACTTCTTTAATGTGATACATCTAACCACTGGCACCAAGGGTGTGGATTGTGGATTAAAGTAAGATAAAATCATTAAAAACTTAAGTTTATGAACCTCTGGTGGCAAGAAGCTGCTCTGCAATCCCGAAGGCATGCAGTTCAAATCCACCAGATTCTCCGCTGGAGAAGGGGCCATCTCGGATCCAATTCAAAGGCACACGACAAGTTAAAAAAAAAACCAAAACCCACTTCAGTCTTTTCTCCATCTGCTATGATGTTGCCTATCAGTCCAGTGGTGAGAATTTTTGTTTGCTTGATGTTGAAACATAATCCTTTTATTTTTATTTTATTTTATTATTTTTGTGTGAGTGTACCGTCAAATCAGATCTGACTGGTACAGGAGGAGATTGTCCCTCCTTCCCCGGCAGAGCATCTGGTGGCTTTGAACCGTGTGCCTCTGGGATTGTAGTTGCAGCTCCTTACCACTAGGCCACCAGAGCTCCCCTTGAAATGTAATCCTTATTGAAGGTTATAGTCTTTCATCTTTTCATCTTCTGCAGCAAATACTTCCTCACTTTGAACAAGTAAGGTTGTGTCATCTGCATAACACAGGTTAGTGATTAGAGTCTTCCTCAGATCTTGATACCACATTCTTCTTCATAGAGTCCAGCTTCTCAAATGATTTGTTCAGTATAAGATTTAATAGATATGAAGAAAAAAAAATACAGCCTTGACACACACCTTTCTTCATTTTAAACCATGCTTGTGTTTAGAGAACAGCTTCTTGATTTAGGTGTAAGTTTTATATGAGCACAATTAAGTATTCTGGGATTCCCATTCTTCTCAATGTTGCCTGTAGTTTGTTATGTGTGATCCATGCAGTCATATGCATTTGCATCATCAATGAAACGCAAATAGACATTCTTCTAATCCAAATAAAAGTAATTAAGTAATTCAGACCCATCAGCAGTGCCATGAAGAATATAGCCTGGAAATCCTATGTTGTTATGTGCCATCGAGTCGCAGGCGACTCATAGCGGCCCTGTGAAGGAGAGTCCTCAACGCTTGGGTGCCTTTCATCCTCTCTCCAGGTTCATAGGGTTTCCTTAGGCAAGCTACTATGGAAGTGGGTGCCACTCCTCCTTCCAAGCTTGTTTTAATCAGGGAGCTCCACCACACTCTCTGTCCTCATTGGGTAACCAACCATTAACTCATTTGACACATCAGTGTCACAATGTTCAGC